TTCGTTTATGGTATTTGTTTATTAGGGTAGTAAACCAAAAAAACGAAAACGCAATTAGTGACGTCGCTAATTGCTTGTATCGTACAGTGGTTTCACTTACACAACTTAATCGATTGCTTCACCTCGAGTTGGCACCATTGAATGCCATGAGCGCAGCCCAATCGAAAACAAGCCTTTTGCATGCCGTGAATATACCCAGTCATCGAAAACACTCCCTTTATAACACGCTAATCTTAGATCACCTAAAATTAGGTATTTTCTTTTACCAAAAATTATCGAACAACTACATCTGATCATCTGAACGTAACCTTCAGCAAGGCTCATCAGCCATATACATATGAGACAATTGTGATTCCAAAATAGAATCTGGGAGCAGTACACAGAAAAAAAAAGTTGTTGAATATTACATCCAAACTGCTGCAACCAGGTCAATCCATCGGTTGTGTTATATAACGTTGTACGATGTACATCGGTTTCGCGAACAAAATTACATCCATTGATGTAATATTGTATCTGCTTTTTGCTATTATATCATTATTTCAGCTTGAATTACATTGATCGATATTACATTTTTTGCTGTGTACTACCATAGAGGTGTTGGTAATACACTCTAAACTAATTTTTAGTAACGACTTTCCCCATGATTCTCATGTAACCTCATATTTTTTTCCTTTGGTTTTGTTTTTTTTCCGTCGATCTTGTTTTCCGTGCTGAGCACCAATGCTACCGACGTGCCAGGAAGGCAGCTCCCACACCTGGACCCTACCTATCGACCCATCAACTCATGAACCGGGGACCAACGGCTTTACTTCCCATCCGAAGGAAGGCGTGATCAGAGATGTTATGCCTCAGAACATCCCGGCGGCGCTGACTGGGATTGAACCCAGGCCTGCTGGGGTGAGAGGTAATCACGCTTACCACTACACCACCGGCACCTTTAACCTCATATATTATCGGGACAGTGACAATATTCGGAAACGGCGTGCCTGAAATAGCATTGTACTAATTTAGTTCCATGTACATGTGAGTAACTTAATTAATGTATAGTTCATAATAAGGAAAGTTAACCTTTGGTTAATGGAATAAATAATAGCTTTTTTTTTATGAGTGAAAGGGAGATATGTGTGGGTGCAAAGAGCGCCCAATGCTTCTCTTTGCAGTGTGCTAAACATTCAGCACTATAAAGGGTGATACGGTCAAAATTTGGTCAATATCAACTTGAAGTATTTCTTTCAATTTTGCATTTAAAAAACCTGAACACCCCTCATTTTGAAGGTGTGTGTGTGTAGAATGTTGCTCCTATTTTGATTTTGGAATTCACTCTTCAGTTGTTAAAATGCCGTCCAAGCAAGAAGAGCAGCGTATCAAAATTTTGCTCGCGCATCGCGAAAATCCGAGCTACTCGCACGCAAAGTTGGCAAAATCGCTAAAAGTTGCCAAATCAACCGTTACAAATATAATTAAAGTGTTTGGGGAACGTTTGTCGACAGCCAGGAAGTCTGGATCGGGGGGAAATCGAAAACCGGAAGCCGCTGAGACGACAAAGAGAGTTGCCGGTAGTTTCAAGCGAAACCCTAACCTCTCTCTCCGAGATGCCGCAAATAAGCTGGGTGTATCGTCTACAACCGTGCATCGAGCCAAAAAACGAGCCGGACTATCGACTTACAAGAAGGTAGTGACTCCAAATCGCGATGATAAACAAAATACGACGGCCAAAGCGCGATCCCGGAGGCTGTACACGACGATGCTGACGAAGTTTGACTGCGTGGTAATGGACGACGAAACCTACGTCAAAGCCGACTACAAGCAGCTTCCAGGACAGGAGTTTTATACGGCAAAAGGAAGGGGAAAGGTAGCAGATGTTTTCAAGCACATGTAACTGTCAAAGTTCGCAAAGAAATATCTGGTTTGGCAAGCCATCTGTACCTGTGGCTTGAAAAGCAGCATTTTCATAGCTTCCGGGACTGTCAACCAAGAAATTTACGTGAAAGAGTGTTTGAATAAACGTCTGCTGCCTTTCCTGAAGAAACACGGTTGTTCCGTACTGTTTTGGCCGGATTTGGCATCTTGCCATTACGGTAAAAAGGCCATGGAGTGGTACGCCGCCAGCAACGTGCAGGTGGTTCCCAAGGACAAGAACCCTCCCAACACGCCAGAGCTCCGCCCAATTGAGAAATACTGGGCTATTGTCAAGCGGAACCTAAAGAAGACCAAAAAAACTGCTAAGGGCGAGCAGCAGTTCAAGGCAAACTGGCTTTCTGCGGCGAAGAAGGTGGACAAGGTGGCTGTACAAAGTCTGATGGCAGGGGTCAAGCGTAAGGCCCGGCAATTCGGATTTGGAAAAGCGGAAGCCTAACTGAATATTTTTCCTGAATTTTATACTAATTGAACTTGAAAAAGAAATTTAATTTGATTTTTTAAATAAACGATTTCACCGATTTACACGCGTTTTCCCTTGACCAAATTTTGACCGTATCACCCTTTAGCAGGAACTCGAAGTAAGCCATGATGATCGTTGTGAGGACAGCGAACTTGACACTGCATTTTCCTCTCTCAATTATCAACCACCGTGGAGGTAAGACGTTCGGCGATATCGGGCAGATTCCTTTCCGGCTGATGGTCAGTTATCCACAGGTTTCATTTTACATGCAGGTTATGAATATGCATTTACCTCAATACCCTTAAAGAACGCAATTGTCAGTGACGGGGGAGGCATATGGTTCATTTTCACAATAAGAAAAAATACGAAATACTCAGACCATATTTCGTGTAGGTAACTAATTTTACTTTTGCGTGTAGGAGAATCCAAAATACGTTCAATGCATCATTCATAGAAATACAATGTACTCCACACCTAGTAAGTATAAGTAGGTCTGTATATATCGATTGGCGGTGACTCGTAGTAACCGGCCGCCTGATACGATGGCAACATAAACTAGCTAACAAACAAATGCCGACGATGCCGTCTGTAGGTAGATATTTTGGAAGAGTCCTTCTTCTTTTTCTTCCAACCATTCGCTTCACTGACCTTGTCTACATGGTAGATTATGCCCAAAATTAGGGCTGCGATGGGGTGGGAGGGATAGCGGCATTCTTCTTCTCCGTGGCTATTACGTCCCATCAGGAAGTTTATGTTCGCCCTCAATAGCACATCCACTGTTAGATGAAAGCTTCCTGAAGTTGTATTTGAACGAACCAAAAATCGAACCCGTCACCTCCAACATGGTCTTGCCTAGTAGCTTTACCTACTAAGCTTAGAAGGGCCCCGCGACATAGAAACGGGAAAACATTGTTCGCACTCGGTCAAGGGCAGCGTCCTGCTCTCAATCGTGGCATAATTACAACATTGTTGAACACGCACTCTCAGTCAGTCTCCCTAAACGGCAGGTTGTTCATGAAGTATTCAAAAGATATCCAGATATCATGTAGATATTTTTTAAACATTGTTTGTTTGTTTGTGTATATGTTTATGATACTCCTAATGAAAATCAGGAAAAAAGATCATTGTCCGGGAAATGAAATTTCGTTTAGGAATCAAAATGGAACCAGCTTTACTTTGATTTGATCTAGAAATGAACTTTGCCGAACATGCTTTCACGAATTCCGAATTATGTTTCAAAATGAGAAAAAGCTTAACCTCACCGAATAAGTCGGGATTGAGGCCGGGAACAAAATCAACAACAATGAAGCCTAAAAGCAAAGCGATTTAGCCTAAAAACCGCGAAAAATAAACATCTCAATCCAAATAGCCCATCAAAGTTATTGGTCATTAGGGTAGTCCAACGCCATACAAAGCATTTCAAGCGTCAACAAAAGTCTTTATATAGAGCTATTTCCTGGGAGCGTGTAACAAAGTAACAGTTTTAGTTCGTTTGCATTTCAAACATCTTATTAACGACAATTTCATATGAAAATTCCAGGCAACTATAATTCTAGCCTAGCAACTCCAAACCGTTCAATTATGTTTGACTGAATCGACAATTCATCAATAATTCAGCTTAAAAAATCGCTCCCAGTAGCTACGTTTCATGATTGCATTTCCCATTTTTTTTCATCCCACCCACAGTCGTATCACCATCGTTGTCGACACATTCACACTAAATTTCTTTTAATTACCCTCTTCCACCATTTGGTTCGGCGTTCTACGAAGCTTCCGTGATTGAAATTTCCTCAATTACACACGCAAACCATCCATGGGGAAAACCATTTATCCGCTCAGCCTAGAGGACCTGTCCTACATATTCATCAAAGTCCCGCTTCGTTCGCTCTCCTCCATTCCGCTTTCAACCATTTACCAACCATATTTTTTCCCTCGAAAGAGCTGCAATGCGACATCCGCTTCCAGTTCGGCGCCTCACTTTGTCTGTGGGTACCTACTAGGTACCTGACTCAGGGTTCGAGTTTTCCTCAGTCACAATATTTTGGTTCGTTGCCAAGCAAAAAACAGGACCAACCACACACACACATACATATATCGTATGAATTTACGCTTTTCCGCAACACACCCATTCTACCGTTGTTGCCATCGAATCCATTCGTGATCGTGACATAGTGCACGACGGCGATGGTGGAAAAGTTCTCGGTCGGTGAGAGAATGAGCGGAGGAGCTAGGGAGAGGAAGAGCGCGATCAGCTGTGTGTGATTATCATCAACAGAACAAGGCAAGCGGTTGCCAACGATACCAGTGGTGTTACATTTTCCAATCTGTATTTTGAGCACAGCCAAAATCTGTACAAATCCGTATAGTTTCTACAAAAATCTGTATCGGAAAATCTTATTAAAATCCAGGAAAATCTGTACATGTGGCATAGTTGAACGATACGCGTGAAAAGTGCGTGCGGCGAAGGAGAGCGACTTGTTATCAACTGCACGAGAGAGCAGCTCGCGATTAGCTCTCTGCCTCTTGCTCAATCTCATCGTGTTCGCTCGGAGAGGACAACAACGGAAAGGATGTTCAACAGCGACTGGCGACCCTCGTCGAGCAGTTAGTTGCTATTACTGATTGGTGTGGTTTTCGCGTATAATTCAACACCGGAACGGTTTCCCAGCGTGTTCGCGACGTCAATTGAGTCTTTAAGGTGAAGAAAGTGATTCACTTATCGTGTAGAATCTAATCGTTTAGTTGAGCTGAGACAACATTCGTCCACAATCGGAGAAATTCGTCAGGTGAGAGAAGCTGTGAGCTTCATGTGCGATCTTGGCCTTATTGTGCTATTTCCGCGCTCGGTGAAGACGCTGCGAAGACGGAGATACGCCGCGACGCAAACCAATTGGGCTCAATTGATTCGAGTTGATTGGCTACAATCGACAATTGGTTCCAGGACGGATTCCCGCCCGCATGGTCAGCTTCGTGGTAGAATGACTTCATATTCGATGATTATCGACCGCCGAGGACAGGCGGGTTTGGCAGTGAAATTCTAAACGATGGCGATTGGCGCGCTTATCAATGTTTTGGCTCTCTCTCTCTCTCTCTCCCTCGCTCATCGTTCCCTTCTACAGCTAGGTTGGCATTCGAAATGAATGAGATTTCGTAACTCAAAAGCAGAGGAAGTCAAGGTCCCACACGCCTGGGCGGGCGTGTAGAATGAAAATTGATGGTCGAAGAGGTGATTACGATTCGAATGTTTGTGTTTTGAAGGAAGAGATTCTGTTTACACACTTTGGATGGAGTTATGAAATTTTCGCAAACATCAGGTCGGACGGGTTAAGCGATGAGTATGATTGGAATCAATTCAATGCGCAAGAAGCGTTATCGCTACCACTATTTCATAACGGAGAACAGATAAACAGAGCGTTTTATGCTAATCACCTTGGAGGTGTTTACTGCGATGAGTAACGATGAATAATTACACTGAATTACGGATGGGGCCATTTTGGGGAATTCGTGCAGTAAGGTGAGAATCTATTGTGGAGCAGATGATTGGAGCCGGAAAGTAGGCCCTTAAATACTCTGGAGGTGTTTTTAAGTCTTGAATAGTCGTTTTTTTTTCAACACTGTGGTAGAACCATCGATCTTTCAAATGCATCTTTCTCAATGGCAAAAGACCCTACACTTTCAGTGCGAGGTGGTAAACAAGCGACCGTAGTTAATTGCAATATCAAATAACCCTATAAATTAAGAAAAACAACAACAACAATGTTGAAAAATTTAGCCTTATGGCGTACTTAACTTGACAATGCGTTTCACTGAGCTATCTAAGCCCTGTAGTGTTTAAATTTAAATGTGTATCACAATGTTGACAACCATCAACATTTTGACCAGCTCCCTGATCGATATATCACATTTTGTTTTCAATTATAAATGTGCGCAACAATTTTAAGTGACCCTTGCTTTCGTTGTTATGTGGAAATCGAGGTAGGCCGTGCATTGAAACTGACGTGTATTGTTTTTGCTGCTGCTATATTTTCTCGCGATTTTTACCTGGTATTTAGTGAACATTTAGGGCATACAATGTAAAACTCATTTAGCAAGGAGGGGACGTAGTGGTTAACATCCATACCTCTCACGCCAAAGTCACGAGTTCAAATGCCGGAGAAGTCACGAATGACTCAAGAGTGTTAAAGGGAATATCGTACATGACGCCCGAAAACTTTTTCAATAATTTCACGTGTGTTTATATGTGCTGTGTTTGGTTATTTAAAAAATAAGCAACAAACGAACATAACCGTGAGTGAACAAACCAGTGCTATTCCTATTTCCAAATAATACTAAATAGGGTACATGTTCCCAACTACTGTCTAATATGAAGCCGTCAATTACTTCAGGTAATCAGAGATCTCCATAAAGTACTCAGAATATTTTTGACGTAGACTACGTCTTACGGGAAGGTACTGTGCCGAAAGAAATTCCTGCTATACCAAGTGGTAGATTTTGGCTTCTTTTAAGTTACTAGTGCTGCCGAGGTCGAAGTATCATTCCCGAGCAGATCGCTGATGCTGGAAGTTAGGCAGAGTGACTCCCGAAGATTTTGGAACTCCGGGCAGTTGCACCGGATGTGTTCGACAGTGTAGGGTACCCCACAGATGATGCAGCTTCTGCGGAACGGCAGGCCACCATAGTTATAGTAGAGTTTGGTGTGCCCGGTTCGAAGCCGCGAAATCACGCGTTGATCCCTCAGGTTGTCCAGTTGGTTGACCCTTTGACTTTGCGGATGAAGTTCAGTTCTGTTGCGGAACCACTCGGCTTCCCATGCCGCTCGAATGGTCCTCATGATCCACCGTCTGACGTCCTGTAGGGGTACCTTGTTGGTGAGTCTGGGACCCGATGTCCCGGCTCCGGCAAGGTGATCAGCAGACGCGTTATCAGTGTCCGGGAATCCATGTGTACACGGTGTTCCGTGGGGCGTACTTGATAATCGCCTGGATCCATGGGTGTTTTGGTGCTTCCGAAGTGATCGCTTGAACGACGCTGTGTCAGTTGGTTAATATAAGTATCGGTTTGTTGGCTGGCGTCGTAGCGGCACGGGAGAAAACCGAGCATTGTGGAGGAAGACTGCTGCTTTCAGCAATACTGTCTCCAAAAATCCCGATACCTACTTCGTTTATCGATCGGGAGCCGTCGGTGTACCGATGTACGTGGTCGGCATAGTTGGACCCAAGTAACTCGGCGACCGATCTGCGCAAAATCATGGATGCATCCCCTGCTTTGAAGCGGGTCTTGATCCGATTGTCCAATTGGATTCGTGAAGAGTGCCAACTTTTCTCTCCATGCCAATGGACTTTGGCCACTGGGGGTAGGTCGATGTCGGCGGCCGTGCGGAGGACTCTGTTCCCCTCGTCGAGGAGAAAGATCCTATTGTTTCCGGAGGTCTTGGCGGAAAAGGCGGCAGCTTTTGTGGCAATATTTACGTTTAAGCAGAACCGGAAAGGAAGAAGACCCGCTTCGATGCATGCGGCGTCTGCTGGAGTGGATGGCAGGAGACCAGATATGATGCGGATGTAGCTGTTGTAGACTGGTGCTAGGGTTCTAACCAGCTTCTCGGTAGCGATGCAAGTAATTTCCGTCCCGTAAAGCAACCTACTGTTGTTGGATCGGTGAGCTGAGAGATCGTTTCAACGAGGTTGAGTCTACTTCGGCAGTCCTTTTTGACCTGTTGGAAATGCTGGTCGAAGGAGAGCGTTCGGTCGATCAGTACGCCGAGGACGCGAACTGTTTTCCTGTTTGGAATGGCTTGGTCGTGGATCGTAATTGGGGTGCTATTGACTCGGTGCTGAGACGGACATACGTGGCATCGGATGCTCTTCCTGGCGGATAGCTGGAAACCCATCGAGTCGGTCATCGCTTGCGCTTGCCGCAGGGTTCGGATCTGTGTAGGACCGGTGGCCTCAATCAGCACATGTCAGCGTAAACAAATATGTAAATGCTCCCAGGTAGCCGGTCAAATACCCCGTTCATTGCCACCAGAAACAACGTGACTGCGATAACGGAGCCTTGAGGGACTCCGGTCTCCTCGTTGAAACTTTTCGACCGCGTGTTCCCCACCAATACACGGAATGACCGGTCGGTCAAGAAATTTCGTATGAAATACATCATATGCCCCTTCAAGCCCCAGTTTGTAAGTTTTTTTCAGGACGGCTGGCGTTCACGTCCGGTTGAAAGCCTTGGAGATGTCCAAAGAGATGATTTCAACGTGGTGTTCCTGGTCGTAAGCTTCCTTGAGGACGTCCCCGAGAGTGGCAAAGTACGTGGACGTACCGAAACCTTGTCGAAAGGCATGCTGTCGGTGGTCGAGCAGCAGCAGCAGTTAGAAAAGGCAGCAGTTCCTGTCAAGCGCGCAACGTTCGAGTTTTGCACCTCGAACCTTGCGCGTCGTTCCCGTTCCCGTCGCTGATTGCTGGCAGCGCCGTCGCCTCGATGGTGCAAGCGCTTCGAAGTCAATCAACCTCCTTGCCTGAATGATAATGAACCCGCGTTCTACAAATCTCGATTACTTTTTCGAAAGGACAAATCTCAGCTTTTGTAAACAACGCATTTTATCGTCGGTTTGGCGTAACTGATAGCTCACTCACGTATACTAACACCACTATATAAGGCAGGGGAAAATTTCCCCTATCTGATGGTTGTGTTAGCATGCGTGGGTGAGCGACTAGTTACTCCAAATCGACGATCAAATGCGTTGTTTGCAAAAGCTGATACGTCCCTTCGAAAACGTAATCAAGAAATACTTATTGGGCTGCGCCGAGTTAAATTTGAAATCAGGGCCATCCATAAATGACGTAGAATTTTTGACCAATTAAGGTGATTCTTTGTAGAGTCCAAAAATGGCCGCTGCGTAGGTTATACATATACTTCCACTTCGAATTTTCAAATACAAAAAAAAAAAAATTGGAAATCAGTGCTCAATTTCACCTGAAATTGCTACTTCATGTATGCTGCAGTGCAGCAAATGTAGAGTAACAATTTGAATGTTGCACATGTCGTAAAAGCTTATATTTGTGCACTTAATGTTTCGAAGTGGTTCCGGAAATAAGGATGTCACTGCGAATCCTCTTAACCCCCCTTCCCCATTGTAGCGTGTTTTGCTATACCTAATACATGGCCGGTCACAACTTCTGAAACCCATCTCCCCCTTTAACTACTACGTTATGAAAGTTCTCTGAGCATTGGACAACAATGAAAATCAGCAGCACATACACAAAACGGGTTGGACATTTATGCAAAATTTCGGTATTGATCGTGAATATCTCGCGATCAGAACATTTTAGCTTCAAATCCCTCTATTTAATTGTCGGTACATCTTTTATCTATTTATTGGATTAAAAAAAAAACGAATACTAAATATTGTTTTTTTTTTTAGATTTCGTGCGTTTTGTGAACGCACATCCATCGTACACATATATTTCTGTACCAAGCACTAAAATTATCAGACGGTACCTATATTTATGCTTTTAGAAAAGCTATGAAAGTCCATCCTTCATGGAAAATTATGCTATCAGAACGGTTTATAAAATCCCAGATAATTTGCTGATGCAAGCGAGGCATAGCAAGCCGTTCGATTGCAAAATTCTCCAAGTAGGAGGGACTTACGATGCTTATCTCTTAGCGTAAATAGAGGAACCGTCAATTTTTTTTTTCAAAATGTACAAAGGACCGAAATTATAGGTTACTTCTACTGTATTTTCAATCATTATCTAGAAAAATGCACGAGAATTACACTACACAACCG